GGGCGGACAACAGTGGACTTGGGGACAGCAATGATGGGCTGACAACAGTGGACTGAGACACAGCAATGAATTGGTGCAGGCTGGGCAGAGCTTCCTTCTGTTTCACACCAGGTTGCTACGAGCGACAAGTTGGCGTCACCTTGATCAGCTGACAGCAGCATCTTGCTAGCACGGACCCCACTCAGCAGTGGACAGAAGGGGCTGCCGCTGTGTGCACAGGGGTTGTCTCCCAGGCTTCACGTGTACCACAAGTAAACCACGTGGTGCAGACGGTGCAACTCCGTCAGGTTGGTGGCGGTAAGAATCAGAACACGGTGACCCACACAGCCTTCCGTGGCGGCAGGGCTACAGGAGGGCCAGGGGGCTGGGATGTCCTGTGTCCTCACCCACACAGTGGCTACACAGGTGACCACATGCATAAAGCCTCATCATGCTGCACAAGCACGCTCTGAACACTTCACGTGCTTTATCTACGTCAACGGCAACAGAAACAAGAAAACTGCTTGATGTGTTCAGTAGGGAATAGTAATGAAGGAACAAAAGAACATGAGCTGGGGCTGCACGGGGTGGCAGGCAAAGCCTCAGAAACATGGCCCCACGTTCGGATTTGTGTCCCCTCAGCCCCAGCTCCTCTCTCTGCTGCCTTGGGGAAGGAGCACTGGACCCCTGGCCCTCAGGAGAGGAGAGGAAAGCCCAGCAGCCTATGGACCCCCAGGGCAGTGAGGGAGACAGAGAGGAGCCAGGAGGCTTGGGACCAGGCAGCACCGCCGCCAGACCCTCACTGATTCCCCACTGCCAGCCCCTCACCAATTCCCCAGAGCGAGGCCACGGCTACAGATTGGGACACATTCTACCTGTTCTGCCTGTATTGCAGGACTGCTGTGGGCTCGAATGAACCAGCAGACAGTAAAGGGGTCTGAGAGGGTCAGAAGGCTACTCCCCAAAGGTACTCATAAGGGGATGCCACTCTCCTATCAGCCACCAGGTAGCCCAAGTACCCCAGATGCCCAGACAGGCACTCCAGATGCTCCACAGGCTGCACTTTCCTGGGTCACCCAGAGCCCCCTGCCCTGAGTGATAACACTGACGTGCAGTACACCCCAAGGGCCTCTAATGGGCATGTCTTACTGCACAAGGGCGTAGTACTTCCGGGTCAGGTCATTCCACTCGTCCTCGGTGAGGTCCTCCATGGCGTCCTCAGCAATGTCTATGTCTCCATGCCCCACCTGCTCCAGGTAGGTCTGGCACACCTTGCACGCGATGTCAATGAGCTTCCCTGAAAGGCCCGTGAGCACCTTGGAGTCAGTGTCCTCGGCATCTGAAACCCAAACACAGGCATGTGGGGTGGGATGGCCACGGGAAGCCCTCCTGCCCCAGTGCAGCAGCACGGCCTGGGCAGTGGCCCCAGGGCAAGGGGTCACCAGACACCTTGGACAGAGACCACCCCACTCTCTCTGTGCTATGTGGCTTCTCTGGCAGCCACCTGGACATCACACCTGCATTTGGGCAGGTAGCCTCGCCCTTTCTCCTGAACCTGCCATCCTACTATTTTATGTGTACCACCTACCTGTCCACACACACTCTGCAAA